AATATATAGCGATCTAGAAAACGTAGGGATTTAGATAGAGTCTTGTCTGTGAAGTTTTCTTCTGCTAGCCTCAGCCAATGAAAGAAACAAACAGTAAAAATATGAAAATACTTATAGAGTGCTAGAATTTGAAATTACCCGTATCTTGCCAACTTTTTTTTTCTCTTTCTCGATAAACTTCGAAGTATTCGGCACGTGAACACCAAACATCGTGACCTTTAAGCACGATATTGTACTACTCCAACTAAATATTCTAAAGTACAATAGATACTAATAAAGTTCAACAGTAACTAAAAGTTTAATTAAATAACCATAAACATATAGCTCTTAGATTTACCAACATTTAAACACTACTTTTAAAAAAAAAATATGATCTGGAAATCCAGATTAAATCATACGAAAGTCTTGAAGTTAATGCCTAGATTATTTCAGTAACTATACTAGAAATCTTTGGAAGGTCAAAAATATGATTTTAGTTTCCGTGGATACGATGTTATTTTCTCAATTCAATAAACAGTTGTAACATTAGTTGTCTTACTCTTGTGTCAGAGCAATAGCAAAACAGTTAAAGTTAATTTCAATACGATACTAGACACTTCTATACAGACCTTAGATTAATACATTATTTTAATTAAAATTGAATTTCGGTACATAAATCTGTGAAAGCTTTAAAACTGATAAATTACATCTATATATTAAAAGGATGAGAAAAACCTCGATATAATGTCTAATTATTTCATAAGTTTCAAAATCTTTGAACACATCTAAATATATATTCAGTTTTAATGGAACACTCTATACTTATCAAACAACACAACCGTCTTTAATATGATATGTGATGAATGACGACAGCCAATGAAAGCGGTTTATCTGATACAATCCCGCCTCTGATTTCATTTTACAAATGCGAAAGTGAAACCTTTTAGGAAATACTCTATATTATTTTTTATGGAGTTTACATCAAAACGTTTATATTGAACGACTAGTAACGGGATCGATGTCAGAAAAGATGAATTTCATCTGAAATATAAAACCACCACTTTGAGCAGTATAACAATAAACTTACGACCTACAAACATATTTGATTCAGTTTTTATTTCAAAATATTGTGCCAAATTATTCTAGAATGTGACGAACCAGGGGGAAAAAAAAAAGAAAAATCCATAATAGATGGATCAGCCGCGCATCAATAATATTCCACTAATTAACAAGTTGAAATCAAACCTGAACCACACGGTTAGTGCTTCTAGACTGTAATTGGAACTAAGACTGTGAGAAATGCTCCAGTCAAGGATTTGTTTCAACGATATATCACTTTCATGGTACACTGACATTACGTCACACAAAATGCTAATGGTCTATGCACTGGTGTAAGGGTTTGCATAACATTTTACAGGTATGCTTGTAGAACATTGTATTGTCCGAGCTTTGTTTAAATATAAAGAAGACTGTTGTAAACAAATGACTTAATTCAAATCAGGTGATGTTAAATATAAGAAAGACAAACGTGTGACACAGAATTCAACCTTTCTTTCAAATCGTGTTTGAAGCTTTTGCTATTCTTAGATTCTTGTTGGACTTAAATTTTATTAAACTGTATATGTTTGTCTAATGTTCGTGATAATACTTTGAGTACTCTATAAGAGCGACGTTAAGATTCCAGATAAGAGTAGTTAACAGTTTGCAATGTTTGCTATTTACTAGTTGTCTTCTCTCTAGACTTTCAGTTGAAAATTAGCTTGTGTAGCTCTGCTCGAAAACTCCAAGACAAACAAACAGACTAAGTCTTTCGTCTTTTGTTACACGGGCGACAGGAGCATTGTTTTCACTCCTCAGATTTAGTACAAACATTGAGTGTACCCCAAGGATGCATTCTAGTAGATGTGGCTCTAATGTCAAGGTTACACTGAAGGTCATTAACTTTCGTTTTAATTGTAGCAAATTGAGATTTTGAAAAACAGTCAAAACCCGATAACAAATTGTGATAGAAGGAGGATTTTTGCTTCTATATCTTCATATATGAGGGTGAGAAATTGCTTGATATAATTTTTAGGTTAGTTACTGAAAAAGTAAAAAATTATTGAGGGGAAGGGATTGTACCCTTGTGGTGGTTTTTGTATATTTCCAAATAAACTTTTAAAAGTTTTCTCAAAAACAGTATAGGTCACTTGTATCACCTGTGTAGATGAAAATAAGATAAATTAGAATATAGCGCCTCCTTGTGTCACCTGCATTAATGGAACAAAAACATTAAAATTATATATATATATATATGTGTGTGTGTGTATGTGTGTGTGTAACATTTTATTACTATAGCCTCCTGTATTCAATAAATGTAGTGTTTATTCTAAGCTAAATACTTATGTTGGTAGACCATAAGATTTTTAAATTAAATTTTTTTTTCATTTTTCACGCAGTGTGTTGTTTAAGAACGAAGGCAATAGTCTGTTATTTTACAAAATTAACGATAAGTAAATTTTAACGCGCACTTTTAAGGTTTTATGTGATGTTAATGTTGCGTTATGCTGTTAAGTCATCACAAGGTTTCTTGTCTTTCTTTCAGAATTATGTCCTTCAACCCTCATTTCAATTCTACTACTACGACTTTGGTTCTGTTGAGCTTCCTGACATTTATTGGAGTGTCTTACGCTCAAGACGTTAGTGGGTCCTATGAAGACAGCCCTTCTAACAGCTTAGATACGCCAGAGAACGAACAGTTAGATAAACCCGCATCATATGTTTATAGTTTAGGCGTTGAACAAACAGATGCATACCCTTTTGAGTCCACAGAAATGGACGTGCGGCCAGAAGAGGAGTTGGTTACAGACAAGTTCAAGCGTTACCCACAGAAGTTTGGTTTTGGTATTGGTAAAAGATCTGATAGCCGTTTTGCTTTTGGCTTAGGTAAACGACCTGACAGCCGATTTGCTTTTGGTTTAGGTAAACGACCTGACAACCGATTTGCTTTTGGTTTAGGTAAACGACCTGACAACCGATTCGCTTTTGGCTTAGGTAAAAGACCTGACAGCCGATTTGCGTTTGGTTTAGGTAAAAGACCTGATAGTCGTTTCGCTTTTGGTCTTGGCAAAAGACCTGACAATCGGTTTGCCTTTGGTTTAGGGAAAAGGGATGTCCTTGATGAAGAAGATGCTATCACTGCACTGAATAAACTTAAAAGACAAGGTCGTCAACTCAGTTTCGGATTAGGCAAAAGATCAGACAGTCGTTTCGCATTTGGTTTAGGAAAAAGAATACCACTGAATGCCCAATCTTTTGACGATCAATCACTTGATGAAAACAAGCGAAATTCCCATCAATTTAGCTTCGGTTTGGGAAAACGACCAGATAATCGTTTCGCCTTTGGTTTGGGCAAAAAATCCTCTTCGAGTGATTCTAATGCTAATGACGATTCAGTTTTTCTGGAAGATAAGCGACATTCTCATCAATTTAGCTTCGGCTTGGGAAAGCGACCAGATAGTCGTTTTGCCTTTGGCTTGGGCAAGAAGTCCTCACTGAATGACCCTAGTGCTGATATTTCACAGGTTGAGGAAGAGAAGCGACATTCTCATCAATTCAGTTTTGGTCTAGGAAAGCGGTCAGATAGTCGTTTCGCCTTTGGCTTGGGAAAAAAATCTTCAGTGAATAACCCCACTTCTGAAGAATCACCCTTTGATGAAGAGGAGCAACCTTCTCACCAATTCAGTTTTGGCTTAGGAAAGCGACCAGATAATCGTTTCGCCTTTGGCTTGGGCAAAAAATCACAAACCGATAACCAATCAAAACCTGAAATCACAACAGAGAGGATTAAAAGGCACGTTCACCAATTCAGCTTTGGCCTTGGAAAGAGACCAGATAATCGATTTGCTTTTGGACTTGGAAAAAGGGATTTCTCAAATCGCTTCGGTTACGCTTTTGGGTTGGGAAAAAGAACTCCAGTCTTCCTTGAATCGGGCGCCTTTCCTGAACTAGAAGAGTTCATGAAACGACGATACCATTTTGGATTAGGCAAGAGAAACGTCGAATCCTCAGAAGACGATACAGAAAACGAAAAGCGCACATCAAATACTCATTTTCATTCGGCTTAGGAAGGAGAGCTTTGTTAATCAATAATGCAGAAAAAATGAAATAAAATATAAAAATTAAGCGTTTCAGATAGGGTAGAAATGTGTATTAAAATAACCCGGCTACATAAATATATATATATATATATGTTAATTGTATATCGAATATCATTAAAGAGTATTCAACTTGAACATGAGGTAATTCCTATACATACTACACAGCACTCACTTTGATAAAATATGTTTTTACCACCAGAGAAAAATAAAACCAACGACTTTTGATCAAAATTCTTCGCTCTTTTGCAAAATATGTTATATTCTTACGTATGTGTCTAATTTTACTAAAAGTGTATAATACAGATTGTATGATATGTGAGTCGTAAATTAAACACTACTAAGTTATTAGTTTAGGTAGAAATGTATATATATTTTCAGCATAGAAACACATTTATACGTCGCATTTACTTAGTTTTCGAGGTGTGGTATACTAAGCTTCGTAATATGCACATCTTTTTATTAATATTCATCTTTGTGCTTGGAAATTAACATATACATTCCATTCCCCTACAAACCGTGAACCTTAAACTCTCAACAACATTACCATAAGACGCTAGGAGAAGCACAATAAAACTATTCTGAAAGGGTGTAAAGTACCAATACAGGAGCTACACCCAACATGAACTAATACAGGAGCTATACCCAACATGAACTAATACAGGAGCTACACCCAACATGAACTAATACAGGAGCTACACCCAACATGAACTAATACAGGAGCTACACCCAACATGAACTAATACAGGAGCTACACCCAACATGAACTAATACAGGAGCTACACCCAACATGAACTAATACAGGAGCTATACCCAACATGAAATAATACAGGAGCTACACCCAACATGAACTAATACAGGAGCTATACCCAACATGAACTAATACAGGAGCTATACCCAACATGAACTAATACAAGAGCTACACAAAAACTTATATTAAAATATCACCATAACATTTTAATTAATATAAATAATGAACATGACATTGTCGAATCTCACGTCGTCGTCATATGTATAGTACGTGTGCTTAAGTAATGCAACATTATTGTGCATAACATATTCGTAAAAACATAAAGAAATGTAATTTTTTTTCAACCTTTATCATCACTAGGTTTGGTTACAGAGCAACGTATAACTTTGTGGAAATAAAACGCCTAATCATAGTCCTTTAAACATTATCGATGAAATGTATGTTAAGATAAAACCCAGTAAAATTACGTAATATTGGATAGTGATATTTCAAGAAGACAAATTTTATGCAGGTATTAGCTAAGCTATAAATATATACATTTTGAAAAGTTACTGTCTTTTGAAATAATTATTATCCTAGCATTGAATATATATTAACCATAAATTAATTTATATGATTCTGCTAATTTGATGTTTGTTCGTTTTTCATTTTCACGTACTATTTACACGATTTCCAATCTGTTTATAAATTCACACAAATTCACACTCCATTAATACCTTCACATATGTATAGCAAGAGTATGAGCTATTATTTGTTCTACATTTTTACTTTTAAGAATATGGATTCTCACATTTTCAACAACAAAGGGCGTATTCACTGTTTTGTAAAAAAAAAAAATATGATCGTAATATTAAACGCACATTAACCATAAATCATATGCGCAGTACGTGTACTTCATTAACGCAATATAATTTTACGTAACATATTCGTAAAAAAGAGAAGCGTAAACATAACCTTTTAGATATGACAGTAGTATAAAATAGTGATATTTTAAGAATCCGTACTTCATACAAATATTTGCTAAGTTACAATATAACCAAAACCAAAACTAGTCCTGATTAGTGACATTAGTTTAGCTCTTTAAGAGAAAAATATTTCTGAGCAGTTCCTGGTTATCCTTTGATCGAAACTTTTTGGTTAATTCCTTAACATCTTTTCATCAAAACCTTTCAGAGTGTCTGTGTGCTTATAAAAACCAGTTTTGGATGCTACTTTCACGAAAACATCTTTTTAACAGGTATCTCAAAAACGACCCACAAGAAATTCTTTCACGTTGCTAGGTTGAGCATTGCCTAGTACCGAAATGCGAATTTAAGGGTTCGCGCCTCGCACTTTGGGCTCGTGGGTCCAATATAAAAGTGAGTGCCAAATCCCAATATTCGCCTACAGTAGCCCAATAGTAGGCGGCGAGTGCTTTTGACGAAATGTCTCCCCTCTAGTCGATCGTTTAAATTTTAGGAACGGCTCTTGTACAGCCGTGTATGAATATCCGAAAAAACAAAGAAACGCAGTACATAAATGTTAATCATTTCACCAAGTTTCTTAACTATTTACAACAGTTACCCCTTTTCATGTAGTTTGTTAGTTACTTATATCAGTTAAATGTTGCCCAATTTAACGTAGTTTATTGGTTATTTACAGCAATTAAATGTTGCCCCATTTCACATATTTTATTAGCTATTTTCTTCAGTTCAATGTTGCCCCGTTTCCAACAGTTTATTGACTATTTACGACAACTGATGTCACCATATTACACGTACTTTATAGTGCTGGTTACGAAATAACTTTTGCTTCCATGCATGTGGAACATTTTCAAACAAACATTCAGGATAAAAATGTATATTTTTGCGACAACGCCTGTGTTGTATGAGATACAGTTCATCCTGTTATTATTGAATATTTAGAATTTTCGAAAATAGAAATTTAATAATAGAATCGCTTTTACTCACTCCTTGCGAAAATCTTTAAAACTTCAGTTCTAAGAAAAGTGTAGCTGTCAGCCTAATGTATTGAGTATTGAGCTCCAAAGATCCAACTATTGTTACTGTCAAGTTTTAATATTTGATACTGTTCTACAATTTCGGTTCTCTAATGATTGGAAGTTATTCGTGATTCTAAAATTAAGAAAAATACATTCCCACAAAATAAGTAATCTCATTGTGACTGTGGGTGGATTATTTAACTTTCAGAGCTCCGCCAGTTTCCTAAAGTTCCTGCGTTATTCACACGGGTATAAGACGGCTGTTCGAAATCGATATCCCCTCAAGCTCCTTTTCTGCCACTTATACACAGAGCACAGTATAAACAGTAATTTGTCTATAAGGACTGTCAGGTAAGAGCCTACCAACTGCGTAAGGACGTCATGAGAATAACAGTTTTACTAATTTTCCCTCAGACCAACCCTATCATTGTAATGACTATAGACCCAGGGAGTTCCGTTTCTATTAAATGATTACCCTTTTCAAATCTACCAAACCTTTTACGGCATATTGCGTTATGAAGTAAAAAGGATAGAATTGAACAGTGTTATATAAAATATACAGACAGCCGAGTACGATATATTAAATTAATTTGAAACATGAAAATTGAATTAAAAATTTCACGGGACAATCGCAGATGATATAAAGTCATGGTGAGACGGCATGAATCAGATCTTCGTTTTCATATTGTTTGGAGTATGTAGATAGTTTGATGCCACCGAAAACTGCTCGCTTTTCGGGAGGATATGTAACAGACCTTTCCTATGAAATATATTCTAAATTAACATCGTAAATATATGTGTAGCTTGATGATTTGTAATGGCATTCGAAAATAGAGAAATGTGAATCAGCCTGCTACTCAGAAAGAGACCTGCAATAAGTGTGGCGTCTTGTAACAGGTGACATGTAACAACACACTATATAATCGAGAAGGCTCTCTGTCTGGAAATGCGACACAAACCATGTGCACACAGGTAGCATCCATGACATTTTGCATACCTCAAGCAGCTGAACAATAAAATGGGTATTCAAATTATTCAGTGCGAAGACATACTAGTTATGTTGCCGGACACAGCGATTATGTATTTCTGTTGAAATGTATTTCGGACTGTTGAAACAGGTACTGGGAACTTGTCGTCCTCGTACACTAGATGTAATGTGGAAGTCAAGCACAGAAGAATGGTGAGTTTTAAACATGACAGTTTTACGACCCGAGCTTTTCGCAATGGAAACAACGCTGCAAAGCAATTTTCAGAATTTATGGTTGTCAGAGAGAGCATGAATTGACATGGTGACAGGACTGTAACGACGTGGTGAGGCTCTAAAATCGTCTTGATATAAACGAAATCTATCTCTGTATATGTTGTGTAGAATAAAAATCTTAATAACTAAATAAGGATAAAAAAAAACTCTAACTTTAAATCCGTGCAATTGGTGAGAACGTACGTTAATATAATATCATCAGAGGAGTAAAACTACAGGTGAGCGTATACCTGACTTACTACCTGTAACTGTCGTATTCTTATTGGCTGTAATGCTGAAAACGATGACATCGCAACTGCAGTCAAAACAACGATCAACAGACTTTTACTGTACGAACACATAAAAAAACAGTATATACAGTTTAAAATGTATTTTCATTTATTCATTTCTCAGCTCCAGCTTTTACTTTTTGTAACCTCAACTTTTAGAGGCCTGGTGGTTAAGGCGCTCTAAACGCAATCTGAGGGTCGCAGGTTCGAATCTCCTTTACCGAACATGATTGCAATTTCATTCGTTGGTAAAAGAGTAGCCAAAGAGTTGGCGGTGAGTAACGTTGACTAGTTACCTTCCCTCTAGTCTAGTATTGCTAAATTAGGGATGGCTAGCGTAGTCAGTTCTCGTGTATTTTTACGCGAAATTGAAATACAAAACAAATTAATTTTTAGTGAGTAAATATTTTTGTTCTCGGCGCCTTCAGTCTGCTATCTGTTCTCAAGTGTTGACATCTGATTAGCCCAATAATGATGATTGTTGTTCGTTTATTTAGTTTTGTGTGAAACGCAAATAACATTTACACATCTACATTACTTACATTTCATCTTCACATATACTCCTAATTCTCAACTTATACAGGAAGATTACAGTCAGATGGGCTTATCGTCTCTCAGTTTGTGATTGTCTTGATTGTCTGCTGTTTGAAAACAATCATTTTATGATGATCATGTACGTGGCAAGAGCCTCTTGTTCAACAAAGTATGTCTTTTAAAAACAAATCGCACCATATTTCTGATTTTTTTTTATGATCTCGCCTTTTCTACTCTGCTTTATATGGAAAAAAAATAAATCTCTTTCACTGTCAATGTTCCCAACATATAAAAACACTGAAAAAGTATCATAATCTATAAATATTTAGTAAAAATATCAGT